GCCCGCCGCGCCCTCCGCCCGGGGCGCCCGCCCGGGAGAGCCCCGAGCGGTCCGTGGGGGGCCTGGGGCGCTCCGGCCTCCCCAGGGGGAGTGTCCCAGCGCCCAGCCCTCGCGGATTCCACCCCGCGGAGGGTCGGGCTGTAGGGGTGTCCCCCTCGAAGTTCCCAATGCCCCCTTTCGGCCCCGCTCAGGCTGCCCGGTGCCCTGACCCGCCCCCGTGAATGAGTGGCCAGCGGGGCCAGGGAGATGCCCGGCTGGTACCTAACAATACTCAGGAGGTTGCTGGGCCCCACAAAAAGTTGGGCGTTGTTGGTCGAATCTGGTGAGAGGGCAAAAGGGCTGTGCTGCGGAACAAGCGTGCAAGAGTGGAGAGGGGAAAACTGGCGTTGCGTTAGACTACAGGCGTCTTAGCTAATTAGATGTCTTTCTCAGGGCATTGAGTAAATCTGTTAGTACAGCGTCAGTGCAAGTCCCGTGCCCGAAAAGGGTGGTAAAAGGGAATGTAGCAGACTCAAGTAACAATTTTCTACAGTTGTGTTCTACTTTGCTTTACTTTTTTTGGTTCTGAATGAACTTCGTGCACAGAATACTGGAATTGCCCTGGATTATAGTAAAAGGACCACAGTGGGCATTTAAATCGTAAATAGGGAGGGATGGCAATTCGAGAGTGTGAGGTTTATTTAGAGACAGAAAAGACACAGCAGTTACAAAACTAAAAGATGGCGCCCCCTTAACCCTTCCTCGGTACCTTAGGGAGCTTTGATAATTATGTATGGCATTCAGTGTTTTGGGGGAAGAGAATGTACTCGCTGAGATAAGGAAGTGTGTGTCTAAGAGGACATTCAAATATAAAAAGTTTGAGCCATTTAGGCTGAAAGTGAAATACAGGATTGTGTTTGAGGGAATGCGTTCTACTTAGCCGTCAGGCACTAGCTTGAGGCTCACATCATTTTACTGACTTTTTTAGATCAAGCAAGTCAGATTTTTCGCTCCTTGGGTTTTGTCATGAGTTCTCTGGGTTTGGGTATGTGCAGGAGACAGGCTGTTGTCTTGCTATCCTGGTATTCCTTGCCCCCAGCAGAGTATGTGCGCACCCAGAATGGGGTATCTCCTCCTCCAGAGCCTGTCTTGCGGGTTTGTTTGGCCCTCCATCTTTTTCTCTTGCTATTCACAGATTAACTGTGCTGCTGAGAAGACAGCTTTCAGGAGCTGCTAAGATGGGCATGAGGATCAAACTTCAAAGCACCAATCACCCCAACAACCTCCTGAAGGAACTCAACAAGTGTCGGCTCTCGGAGACCATGTGCGATGTCACCATCGTGGTGGGGAGCCGTTCCTTCCCGGCCCACAAGGCCGTGCTGGCCTGTGCGGCTGGCTACTTCCAGAACCTCTTTCTGAATACTGGGCTTGATGCTGCCAGGACCTATGTGGTGGACTTCATCACCCCTGCCAACTTTGAGAAGATTCTGAGCTTTGTCTACACGTCAGAGCTCTTCACAGACCTGATCAACGTTGGGGTCATCTACGAGGTGGCTGAGCGTCTGGGTATGGAGGACCTTCTTCAGGCCTGCCACTCTACCTTTCCTGACTTGGAAAGCGCTACTGTGGCCAAGCCTCTGAGCAGCACCGGTGAGAGCCAGTCTGGTACTCTGCGTTGTCCTTCAACAGAAGCTGCCCATCCCCTCGGAGAACTCCGGGGCAATGGGGAACATTTTGGTCCTGATAGAAACTATGTGTTGCCAGCTGATGCTGGAGGAAGCTATAAGGAGGAAGAGAGAAATGTTGCCAGTGACACCAATCACAGCCTGCCTCTCCCACAGCCACCTTTGCCACCAAAGACAGAAGACCATGATGCCCCGGCTCCGTTTGTATCTCTTACTAGTGTGGCAGCCCAGCCAGTCCTAGGCTCTGTCAGCACGGGTGTCCGGACCAGCACGAGCTCTTGCCAGCCCTACAAAGTTCAGAGCAATGGAGATTTCAGTAAAAGCAGCTTCTTCACTCCCGACAATGCAGTTGACATCACCACTGGGACCAATTCCTGTCTGAGCAATAGTGACCACTCCAAAGAGCCAGGCTTTGTGCAGATGGATGAGCTCCAGCTGGAGGACCTGGGGGATGATGATTTGCAGTTTGAGGACCCCACTGAGGAGATTGGGACGGTGGAGGAAGTGATTGAGCTGAGTGATGACAGTGAGGACGAGCTGACCTTTGGAGAGAATGACAACCGGGAGAATAAGGCTATGCTCTGCCAGGTGTGCAAGAAAGTTCTAGAACCTAACATTCAGCTGATCCGACAGCATGCCAGGGACCATGTAGACCTGCTGACAGGCAACTGCAAGGTCTGTGAGACCCACTTCCAGGATCGAAACTCTCGGGTGACCCATGTCCTCTCCCACATTGGCATTTTTCTCTTTTCCTGTGATATGTGTGAAACAAAGTTCTTTACCCAGTGGCAGCTAACCCTTCACCGACGAGACGGAATATTTGAGAACAACGTCGTCGTTCACCCCAATGAGCCCCTGCCTGGGAAGCTGGGTCTCTTTTCAGGGGCAGCCTCCGCAGAGTTGAAATGTGCTGCCTGTGGGAAAGCTTTGGCCAAAGATTTTCATGTGGTCCGAGGCCACATCCTCGACCATCTGAACTTGAAGGGGCAGGCCTGTAGCATCTGTGACCAACGCCACCTCAACCTTTGCAGCCTCATGTGGCACACGCTGTCGCATTTGGGCATTTCAGTTTTCTCCTGCTCTGCCTGTGCCAGCAGCTTTGTGGATTGGCACCTCCTGGAGAAGCACATGGCTGTGCACCAAAGCCTGGAAGATGCTCTCTTCCACTGCCACTTGTGCAGCCAGAGCTTCAGGTCAGAGGCCGCCTATCGTTACCATGTCAGCCAGCACAAGTGCAGCAGTGGCCTCGAGGTACGGCCTGGCTTGGGGCAGCACCCAGCCCTCCAGAAGCGGAAGCTGCCAGCAGAGGAGTTTCTGAGCGAGGAGCTGGCTCTGCAGGGCCAACCTGGGAACAGCAAATATAGCTGCAAGGTCTGTGGCAAAAGATTTGCCCACACAAGCGAGTTCAACTACCACCGACGGATCCACACGGGCGAGAAGCCGTACCAGTGTAAGGTGTGCCACAAGTTCTTCCGAGGCCGCTCGACCATCAAGTGCCACCTCAAGACCCACTCAGGTGCACTCATGTACCGCTGCACAGTCTGTGGCCACTACAGTTCCACCCTTAACCTCATGAGCAAACATGTCGGTGTGCACAAAGGCAGCCTCCCACCTGACTTCACCATCGAGCAGACCTTCATGTACATTATCCATTCCAAAGAGGCTGAAAAGAACCCAGACAGCTGACTGGGTCCCAGCACAGCCAGGGGAGTTCCTGGGTGGCAGCCAGGACAGTGATTTTCTGATGGCTGTTGGTCTCTTCCCAGTTGAAGCTACAGTTTTGCCTTGCTAGGAATTCTGTTCTGTGTTGTTTTTAGAAGAAGTACATAGCACATAAGCTGTTACTGTTTTTGAGAGTGCAGCAGCTCTGTTGCATTTACCTCCATACCTGTTCTAGCCCAGGAGGGGCTGTGTTTTTGATTCTTTTGAGGCTGGCTTTGGGGTCTAGTCAAGCAGTTGTGTCAGCTAGATTCCCTTCCCAACCTCCCTAGTTTTAGTTTACGGATAGGTTTTATGCTGCTAAGAATCCAACCAACAGCCTCACAGGATAGAGGAGGTGAAGAGAGGTCCGTGTCTACACTGTGGGTAGACCTTCAACTGGGATAACCAGCTGCGAGAGGGATTTGGGAAATGTGGTCATTCAGCAAGGACTAGTCAGCAGGGCCACTCACCTCAGCTCCAGTGCCAACCCTTAACAGGGAAAAGGTGTCAGGGATGGAGGTGCCTGCCTGCTCTCTGGCCCTGATCTGCTGATCGGCAGTGAAAAAAAATCTTTGGGCGGCAAAGCTTTCTGTTTAGGTTACAAAGCTTTGGGATGAGTCCTTGCCAGCAGGTGGGGTTGGTCCTGTGGTGCTGCCAGGTGCGGCAGCCTGGATGGACAGGAGAGGAGACTCCCTCTTTTCTCCTTATTTCCAAAGAATCATAATTTTGTGGAGTGATGGCCCAGGACATCAAGACTTCCCTGTGAGGCAGAGAGGACAGGGAGCCACTTTGATATCTCTGTCATTTTGGTTGCCTCCAGTGATGTTGAGTTTCCTGGTGGAGAACGGGAGATGTCTCTGACAGCAGCAGCAGCAGCAGCCTTGCCTTGCCTTAATTTATATCCAGTCTCCCACCCAGGAGGGTTTGGCCTGTAATGTAGATGAGAAAACCCAGGAAGTGGTGGAGTGTTGGACTGTGAGCCCTTCAGGATTAAAGGGACCTGAGTAACTGGTGGTGTGTGGCAGGGTGTGCGTTTTGTGTGTCCCAGTTAGGTAACTGGTTTTCTTTGTGTTAGCAGTGCTGAAGCTTTGACAACTCACCTGTGACCTGCTGGTATTGAGCCTGTGTCATTGCATCACCTCCAGGGGGCACTGTTGGATGACAGCTGGTTCAGGCCCTCCTAGGTGGCCCGGTTCCTGTAGCTCTTTGGTTCCATTCTTAGTTGTTCTATAAAGGGGTCTTGCCCAAAGAAGGTTGGAGCGAGAGGGTCCTTGATCTTGTATTCTCACATGGTGGCACCTCAGTAGCTCATACTACCTCACCCTGCTCAGGTGAGCTCTAGGAGTCCCTAGCCTCAGCCTGACACTGCCCCTGGTGGGTGGGACTCAGCAACATTCCAGGATGTTTCACAAGCAAGTAGTTCAACCCACAAAGCCTTTTTGGACATTAATATTTATTTATTGTTTTGTTTTTGTATGCGTATTACCCAGCATCTCTTTTGGGTAAGAGACTTCAGGAAAATAAGTTTCTCCCAAGCAAGTAGCCATATACCAGTGGACTGACCTGGCCAGAGATTTGGGGAGTAGTGATGTAACGAGGGGGAGGCCATGTCAAGCCTTTTAAACAAGTGAATTTTCTTCCTTTAGGCAATGGATGTAAGTTCTAGAAAGTTGGGACCCAGTTAAATTCCCAGACCTTTGATCCTCCTTCTGTCCTGTGATGGAGGAGATTAGGGCTGGGATGAGGGGATCAAGTCAAGTCACATGAAGGAGATTTTTTACACTTTCTTGTCCTTCCTAAATTTAGGTGGGCTCCTGTTCTTGTCTTTACTAAGACACACAGGTGAACCAAAGCTCCATCCCTGTTGGGCCTGCTGCTTTTCTTTCCAACCCTGGATTGAGCAAGCCTTAGAGTTAGAGCGCAGGGCCCTCCGGGGGGCTTTCTAGTTCCCCCTGGGTGACAGGACTTGTATAATGGCCAGTTGAAGGCCCACCTTTCACCGTCTAAACCCAACTTGGAATATCTCACGAGGAAAGCAGTGCTGACTTTTTACACTGACCATTAAGAACTTAAGAAGGGAATCTGTAATACTCGACTACAATCAGGTATCTGCTATTCTTCTGAAGCATGAAGGATCCTCAGACTTGATGAGGTCTGAGCTTTGAATGGTTGGTATGTGAGAGGTGATACTAGAACCCCGTCAGGTAGCCGAGAATGGATAGACACACCGGAGAAACCCTTTTCGTTAGTAGAGGGCATCATTTACGCTGGGTAATTGGTATACATAACCTGAAACTGTGAAGATTTCCCTTTTTGCCAGTAAACCAAAAAGTAGATCCTTGAAATTTTGCCCTTGAAACACTAAACAAAAAACTGCTCCCCCATGATCTCTCAGAGAAGTGGCTGATCAGGGAGACCCAGTTGATCCCAGTCAGACACGTAGCAAGCAGGATCAGTAGCTTGCGAGGCTCAGTGACCAAACCCTGTCCCTCTGGGCATCCCCCACATTCACACATGAGCTTCCTATCCACATGAAGTCATGTTTGCTTCCTCTGCCTCTAGCTCACGCCTTCCTGAGTTGTTTTACTTGAAATGTTATATTGTGGCAAAGGGCACTCTAGGATACCTGGTGAAGGTGTTACTTGACTTCGTTGGTGTTCATTTATTGGATCCTGTTGTTGTCTAGCACTGCCCTCTGCTGTATTACTCTGAAGTTCTGTTTGACCCTTGAATGTTGTCTCTTCTCCTCTTTCCCCGTTTTCTTGTTCAGGACTCAGGACCAGCTACATAATTCACTGAGCCCTCTTCTTCACAGGTTGTTGGGGTTTTTAAGACGGCTATTGTAGAGCGTTAAACCAAATTTGGGACCACTCCCAACTTGTTTGTTAAGGGGAAACAGCAACACTTAAATGGAATACCAGGAAAACCATAGAGGCTACTTATGGCCAGGGGAGAGGATCAATGTCCTGCACTCCAGTGACCCCTGGTGGTTCGTAGGTGCCTCAACACCCATGGGAGTTCTGCTGAACCCTAATATTTGGTTCTAAATTTTAAGTCCTATGGTTCAGTGGCTAGTTGGGAAGAAAGGAGGTGGGGTGGGGGTTGGGCCCAAGTGACCCCTAAGAACCAGGAAGTGGGTAAAGTTCTTTTTCACTTCTGACCCGTCAGCACCACTTTGTTTTTTTTTTTTTTTTTTTTTTTTAAAGCACCACTTTGTTTTCAGGACAAACCTTTGGACTTAGAGATCTTTTCCCCCAGTCAAGTTTTTACTACTGATAAATTTTCTTGCCTCTTGCTGTGTCCTATTTCTCAGACCCCCACACCACTCGACTTCAAAAATGAATTTATATCCTTTATAGATGGACACTGAATTCGTTGGCAGGGGAAGGGGCTGTGTGGGGCAGCCTGTGCCTGCTTGGGGGTCCCCATGTGCCCCTTTCCCTCAACTGTGCACCGAGTGAGTCAGGAAGCGGGGTGCTCACCGCGTTCGTTTCAGTGTGATTATACATCATCAGCTTAACATCAGAATGCAAATGAAACTTCTGATTTTGCTGTTTCTTTAACACTCTTGTCCAATCCACCTATCCTCCCCCCTACCTCTAATAGCTGAAATCTCTTACGAAATGGAGAAGAGGTGTTGATGTCTAACTCCTTCCATTAAATTAATAAGTACTGACCTCCTAATATTTAAGTGTTTACTATCTATTGCTGTAAAGTTTTGTACATTTTGTAAACTTTTTTTCCCAAATGGTAGATGTCTAAAATCGTTGTACATCTGATTCTTTTATATTCCATTGTTCAGCACAAAGTGTGGTTTTTATTTAGAATAATAAAAAAAAAAAAGAAATTTGAAATGGGAGTTCTTTTCCTGTGTCCTGCGAACACGCTCAGATCACGAGCTCCAGATGTCTGAGCTCATCACCCTTTCTGCACCTGGTCCTGCAGATGTCAGAATTCTTTCATGTAGCCTGTTTTTCTTTCCCATAGCTGGAATTCCCCAAGATTAGCGTGTTGACTTGTTTGAGCGGGAAATTAAGTCAAAGACTCAACATTTTCCGGTGTACATCTCTGAGAGCATCTGCCATCAGCCCAGAGAGAGCTCTGGGCCTCTGCAGATAACCAGCTGGACCAGCATTACTTAGGGACTTGGCCAGACACATTGGCTTGCCATTGCTGTTAATTCATGGTGAAGCACTGTGTTTTCTGGTGGAGAGCTGCAAATGCAAAGTGGAGGGGAAAAGGAAGTTCAAACAGGGAAGAGGCAGAGGTCTGACCTAATTGCATGAGGTTGGTACCAATATGCTTCCGCAGAGGAGACAGACCTCTAGCGGGTATGCAGTCGTGTGGTTCATTTGGTCCTAGGGCTCACAGTCCAGAACCAGTTCTCATCGGTGCTCAGTAGGTGTTTGCTGAGCAGAACAGCTTTGCGGCCGTCAGCATAGCCACATCCCACTCTTCCTTTCCCTGGGTGGAGGGGCCCTAAGGAAGTAGTCACACTGCCAGGGTGACAAGTGGTCTTGGGAAATGGCCTCTGTGACATCCTGGATTACGACAGATGTAAAGTTGGATTTCCTTCAGAAAATTCTCAGAGCCTAGGTCAGAGGAGGCGGTGATATGGGTATCTGATCTTGGGTTGCTTTTTAAGTGGGAACAATTTTAATGTGCTTTCTGCATTGCTAGGTTCAACTGTTACTGCACCCTCCAAGTCACAATCCAGGCTTCTCGATCAGGAAGCCTTCAGCTCTGTGTCAGCAAGCAGCCCATGCTCCTCACAGCAAACCAAGGGTCTAAGACCCTTTCACTAGGTTTGGGCCTAGTGAGCCGTGGATGGCAGATGTGGTGTCCCTCTGTACTGCTGACAAGCCTGGGTGTGTGCACCACTGGGGTGTGTGTTTAAATGTTCCCGGAGAGCACAGGCTGAGATGATAAGAGCAGAGGAGATGCTCTCTGGGAGACAAGTTGTTATTCAAAGTTAAACATTCTGGGCACACTGTGTGCTGGAGCAGGACCAAGGAGATAGTCAAGAGATCAGCTATTTCATCCACAAGCTCATACTGTCCACGAACAGGAGGCCAAAAAATGTGGAATTGAAAGGCAGAAACTAGGACCTATTCTTAGGCTTGTACATCAGAGTTTTTCATGTTTATCATCTTAATTTCCTAAACTGATACATGAGTCTTCCAGAGGAGTTACTTGTTAATTAGAGGAATATTTTTATCTATAGAATAAGTGTTAGTTAGTGTAAGTCTCTGGATAGGAAAATAATGAAGACATGGACCAGGAAGAAGTGACCAGTGCCAGAGCTCTTCCCTGTGACAAAACAGGGAATTTTCTACTTTGGCCTTCCCCAATCCTGTGCAAGGGCCCAGGGCCAAGGGATGCAACAACTGCCAGCACCTGCTGCAGGCGTTTTCAAGGCCTGTTCCTGGAACAGATGTCACCTGATATTTTCCTGTCATCTGGAGAGCAAGGGAGCGATGGGGAGCTCCTTAGAGCAGTGCTGGCAAACCTATGGCACACTGCTGCATCCAGCTGTTTGTTACTCACAGCTCTAAAAGGTTCACCATCACTGCCCTAGAAGATAGTGTCCTAGACCTACGGCTGGGAGGCTTGCTGTGAGGAGCATGGGCTCTGAGTGCATGTGTTCTGGGGGAGGAGAGCCAGGACGGACAAAGGGGAAGGGAGGATATCAGCAAGGAAATGGAGTTGTGTTTCCTTAGTGGTCAAGGGTGGACAGACCATCCTGCTGACCCAGCTGCAGGGTGCCTGTCTCTGACCAGCTTCGCCCCACCCCTGCTTCCCCATTCCCCTCTGCTTATCGTGGCACTGAGGATGCACAGCTAGGGAATGTCCTGCTGAGGCCTCCTGGTTCCTTGGCCTCTGGCCTCCTGTCCTCACAACCTGCATAGTAAGTTGGAAGATCAACAAGCACACAAAAAAAAGGAAAGTTTTGTGAGGTTCCTGTGGAGCTCATTTTTTTCCGGCCAGGGTGATTTATGACATGAGTACATCTAGTTTGCTTTGCAGAGCGTCCCTGTAGCCTCAGCTCTCTTGCCAAACCCAGCTGCAGTGCAGAATTCTCAGAGATCTAGAGCCATGGCTGTCTCTTATTTATTTCACTTTTTTGGTGTGTGTGTGTTTCTGTCCTTAGACACAAGGACCAAAGCAAATAGTGCAACACCAAGGAAGGACCTGATCCTTATCTCTCCTCACCCCCTCTGCCTCTACCCACTTCAGTATTTTAAAATATACTCAAAATTGGTGCTGAGTGCTCTGATCTTCTCCCCTATTCCTCCACCCCAACCCTCAATCTCTCATCTTCCCCTCCAGCCTTTTATTTTACCAATGGAGGAGCCTAGAATCTACCTCACCTGGCTTATGACATTGCAGAGTGGAGAGGAGGTATTTTGAGGCAAAGAAGGCGCTGGAAGTTCAGGCTCGCGTTGGGATGGGGCCTGCTGCAGCGGCAGGCTGCCCTCCTTGGTGATGATGATGGAGTGCTGTGTGGAAGAGGAGGAAGAGGAAGCCCGGGCACCTGCCCTGGCCTGATCCTTTGGCAGGTAATGGACCACAGCGTTCAGCAGCCGACCACGGAAACTTGGGCTGAGAAAGTTGTAAAGGATGGGGTTGGCGACACAGTGCAGCATGGAGAAGCAGTCGATGACATCAGAGAAGAAGTAGAGCAGCTGGACCAGGTAGCAGTGGAGGGAGATATGGGTCCCCTGCAGACTGACGAGCAGCAGAATTATATGGTAGGGAACCCAGCAGATGACAAAGACAGCTATGTAGGCACACACCAGTCGGCGGTGGCGCCAGCCCTCTGGCCGTCCTTGCTTCTGAAGCCAGCGGGCTGTGAGCACATTGAAGACCACGATGAGAGGGAAGGGCAGCAGGAAGCCCAGTACAGTAGTGGACAGGGCCACAGTCAGGGCCCATGTGCTGAATGTTTCAAAAGGTGCCGTGAAAAGGCACATGGGCTCAATTTCACCCACCAACTGCATGTGGACCACCTCAGGCAGTGGGATGATGGCGGAGAAGACCCAGACCACTGCACACACGGCCCGCCGCACTCGGTGCTGGTTGTGCTGCCAGAAAGGAGAGGTGCTGGCGAGTGTGACGTAGCGGTCGACACTGAGGCACGCCAGGAAGAATATGCTGCTGTACATGTTGGCAAAGTAGAAGTAATGAGTGAAGCGGCAGGAGAAGTTACCCCAGAGCCAGGTGTAGTGTAGCGTGACCTCCAGCATCCACACGGGCAGGGACAGGATGACGCCCAGGTCTGCTATGGCCATGTTGAGGACATAGAGGTTCAGCAGCCCCACGCGACCTGAGCGGCGCCAGTTGACATAGATCACCAGGAGGTTCTCCACCAGCCCGACCACAAACATGGCCAGGTACAGGACAAAGAGGACCACTCGCTTGGTGTCCTCATTGAGCTCCACATAGCACTGAGACATGGTGTGGTTGAAGAGGTAGAGCAGTTCTGTCCAGTTGTGGATCTCTCTAAAGTAATTGTCAGGTACCACAGTGGGCCCTGTCAAGGGGCCGGGCCCCAAGCTGGGTTTGACTGACATGAGGACCAGCAAAGGCCTTTTGGGAAGCCGATGAGGTTGGAAGAGAAAGGAGACCTTCAAAGCAGTCTGTTCCCCGGTGAGAAGGTACAGCAGTTTGAGAGCTTAGGGTCTGAAAAGGCAAGAAAGGAATGTTTAGCACTTGAACTGTGACTTGCCAGCTTTGACTCAAAAGCAGAGACACTTCATTAAGGAATTTCAGGACTGTTTGTGCCCAACAAGGTTTTTTCCTTCCCAGCCCAGCTGGCCTCTCAGCTCCAGGTGGTTTCCAACCTTCCCCTCTCCCAGCACTTCAATTCTTGGCACTTTGGCATAGGACCTCATTAGGGGCTTCCCCTCTGGCTTGCTATGTGGGCCATAGGTGTGGACTTCCCCACAGCACAACCTTGGTGAGCATTTGTCCCCAATCTTTCTCTTTCCTGAGAGACAGAGACACTCACCTGAATTTCCCTCTGGAGCACCTCTGTCCCGGAGGTCCTGCAGGTCTGGGCTGTTAGGGAGCTGTGAGGAGGCTGGTGGGACAGTGGCTGCGGGGCTGGCTTTGCTGTGGCTTCAGGGCTGTCCTTCCTCTGAGAAGTGGCTATGACTGGCTGCAGCTCTTTAGGAGGGGACTGGGTTTTTTCCTGCATTCACCCAATCCAGTTTGAGGGGATGTCCCAGCCACAGACCCGGGAGTGGTGCAAGCATTAAAATCCAGACTCTTCATTCACTAGCTGTGTGAGGCCTCTTGAAGCCTTAGTTCTTTCCTCTGCAAGATGGGGACAATAGTGGCTGTGAAAAGGCATGGTGTGAGATTTAAACGAGCCATCAGGGTAAAGTGCCAATCGCAGAGCTGACTGGTGACAAACACCTTTCATAAATGCACACTTTCCTTCTCTGGGAAATGGCAGCTCACAGCCCCATTCTCCCATCAGTTTTAATTCCCCTACTCACTAGAACTAGGGTGATAGCAGCTAAAACAAATCTGAAAATCAGTCAGGCTTTTAATGATTCTGATGACCCTGCTGGTTCTCATTTACCCCTGCAGTTCTCCCTTACCCCCCATACGGTTTCCAGCTCCCTACCTTCATTTTGGGACTGGAGATGAGAATCTAGAGGGAGAAAAAAGATTAAAATGTCAGTGGGGGAGAGTACTGGGTGGGAAGGGAGAAAGGAGAACATCATCTTCCCCAGGACTCTGGCTTCTTGGCGGGAGTGTGTGGTGTGTGGCTGGGGTGGAGATAAGGAACGGGATTGGGAAAGAAACCAGACTTGCCGCCTTCTCACACTCTCTAAGCGAGGTGAGGGGTCTGGGCCCATGACTTGTGTTCGTGATGCCCTGTGTCAGTGGGACTAATTGCCTCTCAGTGCACTCCCACCCCAGTTATCTGAGTTGATCCTTGAGACACCACTGTGGAGAGGGAGCATGGGCGTCTTTAACCTCTTTGGGGTCCAGAGAAGCCACACTGCATATGGCAGACCCACTGGGACCTGGGCCCTTTTTGTATGATGTGGGGCCAAGCGTTCATTGGTTGGTGGGGGTCAAAGAGAAGTTTAACCAAGGGGGAAATGCTCACAACATAAAACTAGCCACGTTAAAGCATACAGTTCAGGGGTACACAGCACATTTACATGGTTATGCTAGCCCCATCTCAGCCAAATACCATTAGGAAACTATACCCATTAAGTGATCACTCCCTATGGTATTTCTCCCTGTCTGCAGCCCCTGGCAACCACAGTTCTTTTTTATTTTTATTTTGTCTGCGGCATAAGGATGTTTACTGAGTCCCTCCTCCCTAGTTCTCTTTCTTCTGCACTGTTTCTTGGTTCCATGGAGACTCCAAGTCTGGTGGGCAGTGATGAGATCCACTTTGTGGCCAGCAGGGGTGTCTCCATGGATGGTGGGGGGTTTTCCAATGTGCTGGTGGTTTCTGTCCCTGAAACCACCAGCTCTATAGGGTCCATAGCCACATTCCACACTCATGGCCGGCAGTTCCTCTATACCTCATAGCTTGTTGTAAGCATGGCCAGACTTCAGGATGGGTATGCCCATTTGGCCCCCTCCAGCCACCACACCAACCACAGCTTTGTAGGCAGAGATGACCTTCATAGAGCTAAGAGTAGCTTCACACCTCTCATTTGGTCTTGGGATTGTAGAAAATGAGGGTGACATTGTTCTTGTGGCTTAGTGTAGCTAGCCCTGTTTCACTGGGTTCTCCAGGTAGCACAGGATGGTATCCTCAGGCAGAACGCCCATCAGGAGGACATAGCTAGTGTTGAGCAGGGCCCTCTTGCTGCAGTACTCTAACTAGCCCATGTGGATGGCCTTAGTGTCCACTGACAGCTCCCCTTGCTTCTTAAACCTGTTGTCTTTAATGATGCTCTTGATGTAGCCACGCAGTTCTAGAATATCCAGGGTGTGGCATGTGTGATGACCTCGTGGTATTTCCTGTGCCTGTGGAGCACAGAATGGCACCCTTCCTTTTTCTACGGATTCCAAGGCCAGTGGCAGAGGGTCCATTCTTGAGTGTGGTAGAGAGAGCTGGTAACTCCTCCAGTCTGCTTTCCATGTGGTTATACCTAGTTTGGATATTTACTATAAATAGAATCATAGAACAGGTGACTTTCTTGTGTCTGTTTTTCTTTTGTTTTGCAAGTTTTCAAGGGTCATCCACATTGTAGCATATGTGCTTCCTTCCATTCCATGGCTGAGTAATATTGTACTGTGTGTGCATACTGTATTTTGTTTATGCACTCCAGGAACAGATTTAAAAAAATTGCTAATATACATAACAGTTACCACTTTCACTATTTTGAAGAACAAAGTTCAGTGGTATTATGTGTGTTGACATTGTTGTGCCACTGTCACCCTATCCACCTCCAATGGAAGAGACAGTTTTCATTTTGCAGTTCTCTGCTTATCAGCCCGTCCCTAGATCCAGCTGAAATGAGAAAGCCTGGAAGGAAGGGAAAGAGGGAGGGGCATGAGGCGAGATTCCTTGCCAAATCGGGGAGGTGGTGGAGGCAGCAGTGGTGGTGGTGGATCAGTGATATTATGTGTGTTTACACTGTTACTGTAAGCACCAGAAGCAGCATGACCTTGTGGCATTTCCTGTGCACATGGAACCCAGGACCACACCCTTCCTTTTTCCACAGATGCCAAGGCCAGTGGCAGAGGGTCCTTTCTTCAGTGTGGTTGAGAGAGCTTGTAACCCCCAGTCTGCTTTGCTCGAAGCAGCAGAAGCAGCAATCTGCAAACAATTCCTGGAAATTTACTCTTTTTCCCTCCCTCCACCTTTTTTTTCCCCCCAAAAGTGTAGACAAGACACTATGACCGACAATTAGAAAGGAAGGGAGGTACCAGGGAGGGGGTATTGAGAAGCATAGATAAAGCAGACTACTTCCTAGGGTTGCAGGGGGACAAAGGGATGTGCTTAGACCCTGGAGAGAGAGTGAGACAGGCTGTCCCAAAACCTCCCAGGCCTGGCAGGGGCAGGTGGGCGGTGGAATGGTCAGTCTGAGAACTTGGGCAGCAATTGCGCTGCAATCTCTAACACAAGCTTCCAAAAGATTAGGAAGGGAAGAAGCCAAGTCCAGCAGCAGAGGTTACCCTGAACTCCTGCTATGAGAGATGCAGGCTGTCTGTCCAGCAGCTCTGGAAAAGAAGGGTGCTCCCTTGTCCATGGCTCTTGTTGGTCAGCTCTTCCCTGCTCACTAACCCTTCAGGAGACACAGTGGAATTAATGCTGGCTTGAAGATCACACCCAACACTGACATCTTGTCCCACCACTGAGTAGCTGTGTGACTCGGGCAGTCCCTTAACCTTTCTGAGTCTCAGTTTATGTAAAGCGGGGTTACTGGTGCTTTCCTCACAGAGAGGTACATGAGATAATATATGTAAAGTGCTTGACATGAGCATGCCCTTCTACTTGTGCGTGGAGAAGACGAGAGCTCCTTTAGTGGAATTAACATTGAGATACCTCTCTCTAGTCTCACCACCAGCAGCCATGCTTTCCTGAACTGGCTCAAAACCAACTTCCTCGTTTACTTAGTTGCATGGAGTTGTGCTTCCTGCATAGGAGGATGGAGACATTCTCAAATGTCACAGTAACTTACCGTAAAAGAGATGTAGTAATATTAACAGCCAACATTTATTGAATAGTTATCATTTGTTGGACACAGTTATAAGGGGTTTTACTTGTATCACATAATTTAATTTTTATAACAACTTACGAAGTGGGTACTATTGTAGATGAGAAAACCGAGGCACAGAGAAGTAAAAATAACATGCGAAGGCCATACTGCTAGTAGTCAATAAACCTGTTCAGGATTCCTAACCAGGATTCCATCTCCCTGCAAGGTATTATATATGTAAAATTTTGTCTGTTGTGTATGTGCATTTTTTATGGAGTCATAGAGTCTCCCTTAGTTGTCAAAGCAGTTTGTCATGTCCCAAGGTCTAGAGATATCCACCCTTGAGGAGCTTCTTATGGACAGGATCTAAGACAAACAAGAGGAGCTGGGCATCTGCTTCTGGAGGTGACTCAGGACTGGGAATTCTGGGAAATGTCTGGGTCAAGGGAGGGAGCACGTACTTCCTGGAACTGGAGGGTGGGAGGGTCTGGGGAGAAGTTTGAGAAGGGGTAGGTGAGTTAGGTTTGCTTCCCACCTCAATCCTTCCACAGGCTGAAGGACAGCTGTTTATTTACTGTCTGATTTCTCCAGTGGGGGAGGGGGTGCAGCAAGAATCTAAGGAAGAGGAAGCTGGTAAGAGTGAAAGGGCTAGGACCACGCTCCCTTCCCCCACATCAGCGCTAACCAGAAACCTTCCAACGCGCTTCCTATTCCTCCTCTAGCTTCCGTTCTCCCTCCCTCAGATTCCCGGATCTTATGAACTCCATGGCTCCCCCTGGCTCTCAGGGGATGTGGTGACTCTCCCTTACAGAAGCCAGAATTTTTCAGTTTCTTCTAACCTTTGTTGAGCACCTGATTGATGCCGGACAGAAATTCCCCTTGAATTCTCCAGCACTTTCTGAGGTCCTGACTTCCTCAGTGTTCACCATTTTTTTTTTTTTTTTCGGTATCAGGAATCGAACTCACGACCTTGCGCTTGCCAGGCAGGTGCTGTGCCGCTGAGCTAAATCCCCAGCCTCTAGTGTTCACCATTTTGTAAAGACAGTTTTAGGGTCTCCCCAAAAGTTGGAGTTGAGAGGACTTGCCAAAACTATCTTAATTTTCCTCCTCCATTATAAAGATGAGGAAAATGGAGGCCTTAGAGAATCTCATGTTGTTGGACAACGTAAGAATATAGATAAAAATGAAAAGCGAAGCCATATGTGGCAATGTCCCCTATCTCCACACTCACTAGGTGCTAGGCACTGCCAGAAACACACAACAATTGGTGTAAGTCACTCACTGACCTCAATAAGCCACCAAAGTCCTAGTGTTTAGCACACTCAAGGCACCATCCATGTTGCTTTATTCAAACAAAACCATTGCTTCAGACTTAAAAGAAAGCTTCTAGATTTCTGCCATTTTTCTTAAAGAAAGACATTGTTGATCCATTTTGTAGCTCCGAGAGGCATGATGTTCAAGA